TTATATAATTTTTCTTGACCATGGTTCGAATGGTGTGAATGGTTCAAAAAAAAATATTATAGTTTAAACCGGACCGGAGGTTTTCCTCAAGTCTTCCTATAATAAGTGCAAATGGTGCGAAAAAAAATTATTATAGTTTAAACTGGACTGGAGGTTTTCCTCAGGTCTTCCTATAATAGGTGCGAATAGTGCGAATAGTGCGAATAGTGCGAATAGTGCGAATAGTGCGAATGGTGCGAAAAAAAATTATTATAGTTTAAACCGGACCGGAGGTTTTCCTCAGGTCTTCCTATAATAAGTGCAAATGATTCAATTATTCTTTTTCTTTTCTGTAAGGAATTGGTCACCTTGCAGTCATATTGTAACTGTGGATACAATTAATTTTGTATCTTTTTTAAATATTTTATTTATTATTTAATTATTAGAAAAAAATACTAATATATTATAATTATAATTATTCAAATAAATATTACTTAAATATTAGATATTTTTTATTATACTCTATGTAATAACATTCTATGTAATTTTTATTATTATTAAATTAATAAAATATACTCGTATAATCGAGGGTTATAACCTAAAAAAAATATAATTATACAAATAGTAAAATTAATTAAGTGTTGAATATTACATATCACATAAACCACACTATATAGTTGTGGCTTGATTGGATATTAAATATTATATCACATATTTGTAATAAAAATAATATTATATATCACATATTCAAGTCACACTATTGCAGCTTTAAATATTATATGTTACAATACTGGTAATTCCTTTGCCGTTGAGCACATATGAATTATTTTTAATATATAATAAATAATACAATACAATAATTTATAACTATATAATACAATTATAATGTGATTAAAATAGAAATTTATTTACAAAATATTCATTTTCTTTATCAAAGCGTGGAACTATATGAACTATTTCTTCAATTGCTTCTATCTCTATAAAATTGTATATTTTTACTAATTTTAATAAAGGACATCCGTAAACAAATGGAGTTTTTTCAAACTTAAAATCATACCATTGCACAAGTGCAAGATGCAATGGTGATTTATTTGGTAGTATTACTTCTGTTATTAATAATGTCTAAATAAATAAAAGTATGTTTAATTACTTTCTACATTTATTAAGATAATCATTTAAAGTTATATTGTAATTTAGTATATACCTGTGCATAACAAGTTCCATTATCAGATTGATATTCATAAACTTCTTCATTATCCATGGCAATAGCTATATTACTAAACCATGGCCGATTATAGAAGTTATTTGTTACACGTAAAATATTTCCATTTTTTAATGTAACAGAACCAAATGTCTTTATTCGACAATCTTCAGCTGAAGTAATATCTAACTCATCAAAAAATAAATCCAAACAGTTAATAAAGTGATCAAATGCTTTTATCATATTTTCATTTAAATCTAAATTCTTTTTTTGTTCTTCAAGAAATACTGAAGTTTCTGAAAGTTTAAAGTCAAATAATTTTGAAGAGTAGATAAAAGCAGTTGGAGTTTTGTGTAATCCTCCTGTAACATTTCGCAAAACTATTGCTCGACGTCAAATCTAAAATAGATAATTAGTATCAAAATATTATGTAATATTTTAAAAAATTATAAATATTTGTTATATTTACAGTTTGCATTATTTGCCTTTCTACGCCTTTCTTGTTACTAAGACGATATGGATCTTTTACATATATCTTGTGTAAACTTTCATATGTTTCAGTAGTATATCCATTAATTGCTCCATATTCTCTAATTGTATCAACAATATGATAAACCCATGAGTGAAGCTTTGGCAATTTCATATTTGAAGGTGAAAATTGACGAAATAATTTAACAAACAGATCTGCCCATTTATTAATTGCATTCTGTGTAATTATCAAAATAAGTTAGTATTATTATTAAATATTTTAATATAATATTTTATTAATATAATATTATTAATAAATTACCTGGAATTTTTCCAGATCACTTTCTTTAAATATTTCTAATCTACTTAGCAAATACATTTCGTTCCACTTTACATAGACTTCTGTTAGATTCTTATCTAATAAACCATCAATTACAAATACCATTACCTTCATTATATCTCTATATTCATTTGCAGTTAATCTAGCTATTGATTGTAACCCTTTTGAAAATATTTTTAAACCTGAATGCCTTGGAATAGCTACAATTCTTCGGTTCATTTTATCTACCAATGATTTTTCAAGTAATTCTTTAGTATATTCTATTTGATAGTGATATAAGCCCAGATCTAAATGATGCATTCTATCTGGTACAGTGGCCATATAAATGTTCAAGTTTCTAAATTTAAATATATAAAGTTAGAATATATCTTTAAAATATATAAATAAAAATATAAAAACTTACGGTATATTCCAAAAGTAATTTTCAACCTGTTCCAAACTTGCTAAATTACCTGTACCACTGTTAAAATATTCTATCATATTTTCATGATTACGAAGTACCACTTGATCTTGTTTTGTATTTATCAAATTATCCTTTTGTACTAGACAAAAATGGCAAGGGTAATTTGAATTTGCTGATTTATAAGTTAATGAATATGTGCATGCTTCTGGCCAATCACAGATTATAGTAGATATTTTTGGAAAAAACCAGATAATTTTATTGTCTACTATAAAATCAATACCATTTTCATTTTCAAATAGTGGATTTAATAAGAATTTTAAAGATTTATGAAAAGTTTCACGAACTAATTTCTTAAATCCAGGAGATCTTTTTTCCGTCTCATCTTTAGCAAATAAAATTGAAAAATATTCTAATAATTGTTTAGCATCTTCCTTATTTCTTCTCCATGTAGGAATATTTCCAAGAGATACATATATAGGATGTAACGAATTCTTTCCTAATGTGTCAGTAGTAGTGGCATCTGAATATAGAATAATTGACAAAATAGATGCCAAAGGTGGAATTGATGCCTCTGCACGTTTCCACCAATTTCCTGAATTTTGTTCTCCATATAATTTTTCTCCTTGATACTAATATAAATAATAAAGTTAATAATACTTTATAAATATTTAAAATATTATGAAATTTAATGTACTGTATATTTACCTCAATATCTTCATATTTAAATATTAAATGTTGAGATATTTTGGAATTTGATAAAAGATTTTCAATACAATTTTTAATTGGACGATAACTAATGAAATACTCTTGATTATTATGTACAAGTATACGATATTTAGAATGTGAAAATTGTGATATATTCATTTTGTCCATGAATTTTCGACCAGCATCTATATTTTTTGGCAAAGGTGATTAAGATAAATCTAAATGTTTGTTAAAGAATTTTATAATTGCATTTCCAGTTTTATTATTAAGATTGTTTTCTATAACAAGAGTCATCAAATCTGCATATGCTTCATTTGGAAATTCTTTAATTTCAACTTCGGATTCTTCTATATTGCTTTGTAAACTTTTAGACAAAATTTGATCAAAATTTTCAAATTCTTCTGGAATCATATTTGAATAAATCTTATTAGTATCAGATTTTTCTGTATAGTTTTGTAAACTTTCTTCAAAATTACTCAATTCTTCTGGAATATTACTCAAATGTGATATTCCACCAAAAGAAATATCACCAGCATAACTTGAATCACTTTCAAATTGATAAGAAATTTCAGATACAGGTTGTTGGTTTTCTTCTCGAATACTTTGTAATTCTTCTATATTACTAAAATCATCACTATCAAATGACATATCATTTATACTTGAGACAATACTTGATATATTATCATTAGATTCTTCTGTACTGGTATAACGTTCTTTACAATCTTTTACATGTTGGGAGTATGCATTTCGGGATGAAAGATAACGATCACAATATAGACATTTAAAATTTGTAGACATTTTTTTTAATTCTTAAAGTTTTTAGAATTTATTAAATTGTTAAATATTTTTTACATACTTTTTCATAGTTATATATTTTTTTTAAAACTTTCAATTTTCAAATTTTTTCAAATGTTTTGTTTTACAATTTTTTATATTAATTGATAATTTTGTGATATAAAAGAAATATATACTATATCTGTAAAATAAATATATCATTTTCTGTAATATAAAAAGAATATAAAACTTTCTAATATATTCATTTTGTTTTACAATTTTTGATATTTATAATAATTTTGTAATATAAAAAGAACATAAAACTTTCGTTTTTGTTTTGCAATTTTTTATATAATTAATAAATATATAATAATTCTGTGATATAAAAAGAATATAATAAATATATATTTGTTAAAATAAATAATAAATATATGATAGTTACTTTCTATAAACAGGATTTTGGACATTTCACATGTCACATGTTATTAATATTTGTTTATTAATCTAGGATAAATTTATCTTTGTTTATTTTGTTTATTTACATACCACATTCTTTCACAATCTTACGACTATTTTTATTTCATATCTTTATACTCCTTATCCTTGTCCCTAGTCAACAAACTTTTTATTCCATATTTTTTATACTCCTTATCTTTTTTGTCCTCATCCCTAGTCAACAAACTTTTATAATTTTGTGCCTATTTTTATTTCTTATTTTCAACATGTTAACTTATACATTCCTTTATAAATATCTTTTATTTATTTTTTCTTTTTACTTAGCATTTTTCATTGACTTTAGCAATACTATAATTAAATAAATAAACTTTTACTAATTTTTTATTTTTTTATGATGAGTTTTAATACTCTCATTTCAGGTACCCAAAAAAAAGTACGTTCTTCTATAAGTTCTCAATCAAAAAAAGATGAAAGTAACGATGGTAATAAATTTACAATAAAATTTTCAAAAATATGTATATAGTTTAATTTAATTTATTGTTTAAAAATATAGAGAATAAAACATTACTTTTGAAAATCTATGAAAAACTAAACAAACTCGAAACAGATTTTGCAGACATGAAAAAAAGTCAAAGTAGCATGGAAGTGGATATTAAAAAAATTAAAGAAGAAATTTGCTTGCTAACGAATGATAAAGAATTTATTGAAGTAATTAAAAATTTTTTTAAAATTTTGAAATTTTATAATTATTAATAAAATTTTATAAATAGGATATAATCTCAAACGCTACTCAAGAAATAATGAATTTAAATTTGTACCCTAGTCCTGAAGAATTTAAAAAAGGGTGTGAAGAATATATAAAAAATAACCATACAGAAATTTACAATTCAATCAGTCGTAAATGGAATGCATATTACTTAAAAAATATTCATACTAAGGTATGAGAATTTGAAATATTACAAAATATTTTAAATTTCTTTTATTTTTTTTTAATAATTAAATATTTATAGTTGGGTGAAAAATTACGTGAATTCTGAGGTATTTTATGTGGTAAAGTAAAAACAGCTATGAGTGAGGTTTTTGGAAATAATCTTCCTCCAATAAAATCAAGTTCAAAATTACAAGTAATTTTAAATTGGAAACAACTTCCAAGTGTCAAAAGTTGTTATAAAAAAATTTTTGATAAATCAGATTTTCCTGGAAATCCAACTTATATGGAAGCAATCCTAAAAAAAGTATGGCCCTCAACCTCTTTGAAACCACCAGAACAACATGTTGCTTGGGCTATATCAATAGTCCAAACGATATTAAATCCAAAAAATTGTGATTTAAAAATTACAGAAGATATTATAAAATATCTCCTTTCAAATAATCTTGTAAGTATTTATAACTTTACTTTTAAAAATATTTCAAAAATTTACTAAAAACTTGATATAAATAAATATAGGAAAAAATAAAAAAAAATAAAAAATTCTTAATAGAATCTGAATCTGAAGATTCTGAATCTTCACCATTATCTTCGTCTCCTCTTTATGCTGTACGTTCAAAACGAAAGAAAAGTACACACAAATTTATCCCAGTAGTAGAAAATAATAACGATGATAATCTACCTGTTACTGATGATGATGTAGAAATAATCTCTTCTCCACTTTTATTAAAAAGAAAAACTCATACTGTACCTTCAAAACGACGGAAAAGTAAACACAAACTTACACCAGTAGCAGAAAATAATAATAATGATAATTTGCCTGTTGCTGATGATGATACAGAAATAATCTCATCTACCTCCTCTTCTCCAAAAAGAAAAACTAGTACTGTACCTTCAAAACGATGAAAAAGTATACACAAACTTACACCAGTAGCAGAAAATAATAATGATGATAATTTTTCCGTTGCTGATGATGATATAGAAATAATTCCATCTACTTCCTCTTCTCCAAAAAGAAAAACTTGTACTGTATCACCAAAACAACGGAAAAATACATACAAACCAACTTCAGTAATAGAAAATAATAATGATAATAATCTGCCTACTGCTAATGATGATATAGAAATAAATATTCCTCCATTAAGTGAAATTCAAAAACGTGCAGAAGAAAAAGCATTAAATAAAAGAAAAATTAAGGAAATTGAAAAAATATTTGAAAGTAGTAGCAATGATGATAGTGATGATAGTGATGATAGTGATGATAATGATGATAGTAATGAAAAAAGTAATAAACAAGAGTTAATTCAAGAAGAAGAATAATTTTTTCTTTATTTATATATAAATTTTTTTTCGTTTAAATTTGTTTATATATATAATTTTTTTCATTTATATATAATTTTTTTCATTTATATATTTTATTATATCATTTATATATATATAATATTTTATAAAATTCTATTATTTTATAATAAATAATAAAAATAATTAAAATAAAAACAAATTTTATAAAAATTTATAGAAAATATTATAAAAAAATGAAAATTAAAAATTTTAAAAAAAATAAAAATAGGCAGATTTTTAAAATATATATAAATTACGAAAATTTATTATATCAAAAATTTTCAAAATTTTATTATGTGATAAAATTCTGTAAATTTATATTAATGTTAAAATTCTGTAATATTTTTGAAAATTTTCGTAGGTCCTATAAATTTACGGAATTTTAATGTTCATAAAATTTTCAGAATATTTTGCCTATTAAAATTTTCTGATGTTCTATAGAAGATAATACATATTATGGGATTTTTAAAAGACTTTCCAATATTGAGAATGAACTGAGATGTGGAAAGATAGAAGAATTGGTACGGCTAAATGATAATGAGTCAGGTCCTTCTAATTCTCGCTCACGTCAAAATAAGAGCAAGAAAGGTGGAGTCAAGTATTCCATGGATTCGGATACTGACACTTCTGATACAAGCACTTCTTATTCCTCCAGGTC